ACCTTGTTGTGATGGGATAGTGTCATTTGACAACACCACGCAAACTATTTATAAAGTCGATTCCAACGAGGTAAACTATCTAATTACCTAATTCAGATAGTTTGGTAAAGCATGTGCTGTTTCTACAAAGACAAAGCGATGCTTCAGGGGAGCATTATATTCCATCGAGTGTCTGAGCCAGACGAAGTATACATATTCACTAGTTATCTCACGGTGAAATTTATCACAGTGCTTGCCAGCCGTGCAATGTTGGTACTTGCGTCCTCCTACCAAATCATCAGCTATCGTCTGACCGGAGCAGTGGAACATGTGTGAGCGAGCTTCTCTATGCTGACATCTGCCGGTTCTGGAAGTAGCGAAGAGGAAGGGAAGGGCGGCTATCTCAAAGAGTTGTCCCAAGATTCTTTGTCAGATTTTTTTCCTTTCGCTAGCCGCTTCACCTACTACTACTTTACGAAGCTGAAGCAAAATTCACAGCTCTTCCAACATTTTAGAGATGTTTATAAACAAAAACACGTTGTTGCTATCACTTCATAGCTCGTAAAGACTGCGCACTTACTCACCACCTAATCTGCTATGTCTTCTAGTATATATTCGTGTGCGAACTCTGTTGGTGACTGCGCTGAGGTCATTGGGCTTTCATCGGATGATCAAACTGGAGAAATCCACTTCTTGGCACAGGTAAGGAAGTTCAGTGCTATCAAGGTCACATTAGTTAACTTGGATCACCTATCACAGTATCCTAATGGAACCATGGCACTCTTTGAACTTAACCAAGATGACAGGACTCCACATTTGCTTTCAACGTCAGCAGACTTGCCAGCGTAAGTTTTAATTATATGTCACCACGAGAGGCCTTAACAATTCTTATTTTGCAAATTTATTATGGTGGTCGGAAAGTAATAGGACAGCTTAAAGGCACTGTCTTACCAAATTTTGGTGCGAGATTCTTGCATGTTACAAGGCTGTCGGATCCTTTTTCAACACTGCAGGGGCTTTTAACCGCACGATGTTCGCAAAAACACCGTTTTCCGGAGGTCACGCAGACAATATGGACGAGTTGTGTCTTGCGACTTCAGCCTCCGCCATAGTAGTCGCAACACAATGAAGGTGGACGCTCTTCGCATGTCAACCTGACATCACCTTGCAGGTCCCCCGCTAGACTACTTCGAGCAGCGTTTGGATAAGTCAGACAGACTTCGAACGCTATCCGAACTCGTACTGCTGTAATTTAAAGCCATAAAAGACTGAGTCAAGAGGGCTCTTCAAGCTTTTTCCATTGATTACTTGTTCGGCAAAAAATCATTATTCTGTATGATTCGAAAAGTGCAATATCTGGCGCACATTCTGGCTAAAATATGTTTTGTCCTTCAATTTTTTGAAAATAGGAGGAGCTGACGAAATCGCATACGCGTGGAATTAGCTCAAAAAGCTCTATCAGATGCTCACCGTCGGAGGCATACCATTCGATTTCTGTGGTGAAAGAATAAGTAATAAGATTGGTTTATAGTTATACGAACACCCCATATTTTGTCGTTTCAGGACTTTTTGAAAGAAATGTAAGAAGTTACCATCTGGAAAGGTGTAGCCGAAAATAGTATATGTAGCAGAAAAATTGAATTTAGTATCAATTTTGGACTAGTTTTATGCGCCGAACACGCTTTTGGCCGATTCATAACTATAACGGCTCAATCAAACTACAATACCGCTCATAATTCGTCAAAAAAGTCGCCGGAACGCGCTGCAGTGCGCGGAGTGCGCTGCTGTGCGCTAGAGTGCAGCAGAGTGCGCCGCTTCTACTAGAATCCGCCGAAGCAGCGGAGTGCGCC